GATGAGGGGGGGGGGGCTCATCCCGGAGAAAAGGAGGCTCAAGGAGGGGAATCCAGGTGGGAACGAGGGACAGGGTGAGAGGCCTCAGGTTGTGCCAAGGGAAGTTTAAGTTGGATATTGGGAAAATTCCTCATGGGAATGGTTGTCCAGCCCTGGCACAGCTGCCCAGGGCGGGGTTGGAATCCCCATCCCTGGAGGGATTTGGGAACCCTGTGGATGTGGCACCTGGGGACGTGGTCAGTGGTGGCCTTGGCAGGGCTGGGGGACAGTTGAATTCCATGGTCTTAGAGGGCTTTTCCAACCTAAATCCTTCTGGGATTCCTCCAAGGAGGGACACAATTCCAGGCAGGAAGTTGTGGCTCTGGAGCGGGGGGAGCTGGTGGGGAAGGGGGTGCAGTTGGGGTCGCACAGTTTGGGAGCCACAGCTTGGATTTGGAGGGAAATGCAATTTTCCATCCGGGGAATGTTGGGAAGTGGAGTCCTCTCCTCGCTCCTCGGTGTGGGAGGGATTTTTCCATAAAAAACGCGTTTTTCTTTGATTTGAAATCTCTTTGAGCTCCTACAGATAAAAAAATATGTAATGTAGAACACCTATAATATATTAAATATATGTGTATAAAACAAGGAAATCTATGTACAATATAATAAATATAATATAAAATATATATTATAATTATAATATTATGACTGTATATGATATACAATAGATATAACAGTTATAATAAACATAACAAAGATAATATAAATATAATACATAAGAATATAATACATTTTACACAGTAAATATTTTAATATATGTAATTGTGATTTAATATAATAAATATAGTAAATATAATAAATATAGTAAATATAATACATGTAATAAATACAATAATTGCTATTAATAAAATTAATATAGAATATAAAAACTAATATAAAAATAACAGTATAATATTATAAATAATATATATTATAGTTATATTATGATATTATTATATATTATATGTAATAAATATAATATCAGTCACAATAAACAACAAAGATTATATCAGTATAATACATAACAATATAATACATTATACACAATAAATATTTTTAGATATATAGGATAATGTGAATAATAAATATAGAAAATAAAATAAATGTAATAAAGTTATAAATACAATAATTATTATGAATTCTCCTCCAAATAGAATAGATAATAGTATAGGAAATATTATAAATAATATATTTTACAGTACTATAGTACTATTAGGATATTATTATATATTATATGTAATAAATATAATAACAGTCATAATAAACATAGCAAAGATAAGATAAATATAGTATATAAGAATATAATACATTATTCACAGTAAATATTTTAATATATGTAGTATAATGTAATATAATAAATATAGAAAATATAATAAATATAATAAACATAATAAACATAAGAGATACAGAAGTGTGAATACTCCACCTAATATAATAAATAATACTATTATAAATATTCATAAATATATATTATAGTTATGACATTATTATATGTTATATATAATAAATATAATGTTATAATAAATATAATGTTATAATAAACATAACAAATATATATAATATATAAGAATATAATACATTATACACAGTAAATATTTCAATACATATACTATAATGTGATATAATATATAATAAATGCAGTAAATATAATAAACATAATAAATGCAACAATATTATGAATACTCCACCTAATATAATAAATAATAGTATAATAAATATTATAAATAATATAGTAATTATATACTATATATAATAAACATATAGCAGTTATAATAAAGATAACAAAGATAATAGAGGTGGATTAATATATACAGATATATCTATATTTAATCTATAGGTATAACTATAGATAAAATATCTACCTAAATATAGATATATCTGATATGTATATCAGATATGTCTATATAAAATCCATATATATAAAAAATATAACTGAATATACATAATTGGATAGATATTCTCTATATTCAATAATGTATCAATAATATAAAATACTGTGAATAAAAATACCATCCAGGGCTCATATCAATTATCTCTGGATATTATTAAATATATGTCTTGAATATTTCTAGGTAATGGGATACATATATATATTTTTATATATATATTTATATATAAATTTTTTATATTTACACTTTTTATAAATATACTTTATATATATTTATAGATACTTTATATATACTTCATATATTTTTATGTATACTTTTAAATATTATTTATATATATTTACAGATACTTTAGGTATTTAGATATACTTTATTAGATATTTATTATTCATTTATGTGTTCTTTTATATATATTTATTATTTATTTTTATATTTATGTATACTTTATATATACACTTTATATATATACTTTATATATGTATTTTTATGTATATATATAAGATTAATTCATATGTATTCATTGACTACATCCAATAAAATCCGGAGATAATTGATAGACACAAGGCCTGGCGAACACAGATGATAATAAACAGATTTATGCATGAAAGAATCTCCATTTATGATTCTATGGAATGCATTGATCTTGTGTTTCAGTGCCTGGAACCGGGGGTGTCTGCTCAATAATTTGGGGAGTGAATTGTTTGTAGAATTGTTTGTATCTCTGTGTGCGATCCCGAGGTAATTTATGGACGGTACGGATGGAATCGGAAGATTTTCCAGAGCCTCCTGGAAGGGATTGGTGTCGTTTGGTGCCGGGCAAAGCCGTCCTGGAGATCCTGTGGATGGGCTTGTCCATGGGCAGGGACACCTCCCACTGTCCCAGGGGGATCCCACCTGGCCTTGGACACTCCCAGGGATCCAGGAGCAGCCACAGCTTCTCTGGGAATTCCATCCCAGCCCCTCCCCACCCTCCCAGCCAAGAATTCCTTCCCAACATCCCATCTAACCTGGGAAACCATTCCCTGTGTCTTGTTCCTCCATCCCTCATCCCAATTCCCTCTCCAGCTCTCCTGGAACCCCTTCAGACCCTGGAAGTGGCTCCAAGGTCTCCCTGGAGTTTCCCTTCTCCAGGCTGGACATTCCCAGCTCTCCCAGCCTGGCTGCAGAGCAGAGGTTCTCCAGCCCTGGGAGCATCTCTGGGGCCTCCTCTGGAATTTCTCCAGCAGCTCCAGGATTCTCCTGTGCTGAGGATCCCAGAGCTGGAGGCAGAAGTCCAGGTGGGATCTCTGGAGAGCCCCTCCCTCACCCTGCCGGCCCTTGGATATTTGATATCATTTGATATCATTTTTATTGGCCACATCAGGCCACGATGAAGCCCCGAGACCTCTCTCCAGGTCCTGCATCCGACGCTGGAGGAAACCTTGGCTTTTCCAAGGTTTTCCCTGAGGTTCTGGGTGGTCCAAGGGCGACCCAAGCGTCCCTTGTGCCATTGACGCCTTCACCCAACGACACGGGCTCTTTGTGGATTCCCAAGACTCGATGCTCCTCCCTGGAGCAATTCCACGAGGAGCAAACCCCTGGGAAAACTGGAAAGCGAGATCAACCTCTCCTTTATCCAACCTTCCCACAAAAAAAAAAAACCCCAGGCAGCGCTTGCCGGTTGGGAAGAACCCTCGGGAACCAGCGGGCTGTCAGGGGGAGCCTCTGGAATTGCCACCATTCCATTTTCCAGCTCTCCTTTTCTCCGGGAGAACGGGTTCCCCTTCAAGGAGACGCTGATAGGAATGGGGGGTTGGATCTCAATTTACGGATGTTGTGCGGCTGATGCGCCGTTTATGGACGTGCCGTTAATAGCATTACGGGCATAGTTCGGGCTTAATGCGAAATTAGAGCTCCAATTTGCATAAACAAATTACTGTTTGGATTAGCGCTAAATGAGGAAGGCGGCTGATGGTGGGGGAGATTGGATTTGGCTGTTTGGATGGTGGGGGAGGGACGGAAAAGCCGGGAGGCTCCGGCACGGGGTGGGTGTCAGGTCGTGGGCTGGGTGGGTTTTGGGGGTTTTTTTTGTCCCTCTGGGATCTTTAGCAAGGCAGTTGATGACAGGGGAGCTTCAGGTGGGACATCAGGGAGGAATTTCTTCATGGAAAGGGTTGTTAAATGTTGGAAGGGGCTGCCCAGGGAGGTTTGGAGTCTCCATCCCTGGAGGTGTCCAAGGAAGGACTGGACGAGGCACTCGCTGCTCTGGGCTGGGGGACAAGGTGGGGATGGGGCACAGGGGGTACTCGATGGCCTTGGAGGTCTTTTCCATGATGATTCTGTGATATTTATCCCTAAGGTATCACTTCAGAGCTCACTGATCCTTCAGGATAATGTTATGGGATTATTTTGGGCTCCTTTATGCCCTGGATTGTGGCTCCTGACCCATCCCGCTGCCTCCTTACGGGATTTGGGGATGCAGGGAGAGGTGGGAAGGTGGGAACAGGTTCCCAACACCACCCACTCAACCCCACTTGTGTCCCAGCATCTCCTGCAGGTGATAGATGGAGGTGGGAGTGGTCTTGGGTAACTTATCCCACACAGGGATCATAAAATCATGGAATGGCTTGGGTTGGAAGGGACCTTAAAGACCATCTCCTTCCAACCCCCCTGCCATGGGCAGGGATGTCACCCACTAGACCAGGTGGCTCAAAGTCCCATCCAACCTGACCTTGAGCACTTCCAGGGATACCAAAGCTTGTGGAGCTCCATAAAACTTGGTGAAGCTCATGGAAGATCCCACGTTGCTGATTCCGTCACGGGATTCCATCCACGTTTCCCTGTTTGCTGCAGGGGCTGGAGCTGCAAGCCAAGAGTGGGAGACAGTTCCTTGAAGGTCATTTTTTGGGTGTAAATCACTTGGAATCAGAGCTTTTCCTTCCTGGTTTTTCCATACATCCCCTCCATTCCAGTGGAAGGTGTCCCTGCCCTTGGCACCGGGCTCGGAATTAGACAACCTGGAAGGTCCCTTCCCACCCAAACCACTCGATCTGGCGCCTCTTTTGGGAACATCCTCCCTAATTTGATCTCCCCTTTGACTTTCTCCTTCTCCTGCAGGTCCCTGCTGATGAACCAAACCCGCCCATCGCCCCAGGGTGGTAAATCCCAGCCGGTGGCGCCGCGGTGGAGGAGCAAAGGCTTCCGCTGCATCGGCGGCGTCCTGTACCGAGTGTCGGCCAACAAGCTCTCCAAAACCTCCAGCACCCCCGGCAGGACCAGGGACCTGGGCACCAAAAGCCCCAGCAGAGCAGGTGAGAGCAGCAAGAGGGAAGGAACAACTGGGAGTTTGCTTCTGGTGGGCTCCAGTTTTCCTGTTTCCCTGGATTTATGTTTTGCCTCCGCGGTCAGGAACGGCGATGCCGGTTGTCCCGGCTGATCCATCTGCGTTCCCATCAAGGAATTTATTGGTGGGTGCTGGTGGCCAGTTAAGATTTGGTCCTGGGGATTGCACTTCCCTGCACCCCTGGGTCAATCCTGGGATTCCCAGGAGCGATGGAGCGTCTCATCCATCTCCTGGAGCAATGGGAAGAGCCGGAGTTTGCCGTGGCTCTTCTGTAGCTTCCTTTGTCGGTGATGGAGAACTTTGGCAAACCCTCAGTTTAGGGACGAGGGAAGTGTCACTCTCATTCCAGGAATCATTTTTGGGGAGTGTTTTGAGTATAAAACTCCCTCCCCTGGAGCACTTTGTGTTCCGAGGGAGGGGCAGCTGCTGAGAACGGTGCTCTCATCACACCCATGGATCCGCTCCCAAAGGGATCTCTGCGACTTCCAGGGAACTCTGCGAGCCAAAGACAGGAATAATACAAAATCCTGCCTTGGGAGCTTGGATTTGTCCCCATTTGTAGCTCCATCAAGGGTGGAAAAGCCTCAAAAAAAGAGCTCAAGCATTCCCTGCTCATCCCAGCACAGCAGAATCCCACAGGGAAAACCCCTTTCCCTTCGGGATAACTGGCATTTCAACCAGGATTTATTGGTTTTCCCTTTGCTGGAGCGTTAGGGGTGGGGTGGAAGCATTAAATTAATTAAACAAGCGGAATAATTGGGTTTCTCCGCTCCCAAGGAACCTTCCCTTCCTTCCAAAGGGTTACTCGGAGGGGTTTTGTTTGGTGGGGTTTCCAGTTTGGATTCCCTGACTGTCGGATCCGGAGCCTTGGATTGCTGAGCTCCCACAGGTGGAGGTTTGAGCCCTCTGGGGCCAACCTGTGGCAATCCCTTGGCCCCTTTTGAGGTCAGTCCCTTGTTTTTGGGGTTCCTCAATCCTTTACCCTTTTTGAACTCAATTCCATGGCCCTTTCGTGGCCTTGTCTTTGGGATTGTGAGATCCCTTGGCCCCTTCAGTCTCAATCCCTTGGTTTTGGGATTCCTCAATCTCTTGACCCCTTTGGGATCAATCCCTTGGCCTCTTCAGTCTCAATCCCTTAGTTTTGGGATTCCTCAATCCCTTGACCCCTTTATGATCAATCCCATGGCCCCTTTTGAGGTCAATTCCTTGTCTTTGGGATTTCTCTATCCCTTGAGTTTTGGGATTTCTTAATTCCAGACCCTTTTTGAGTTCAATCTTTTGGCCCCTTCAGTCTCAATCCTTTGGCTTTGGGATTGTTCAATCCCTTATCCCATTCCGGATCAGTTCCTTTGCTCCCTCAGTCTCAGTGCCTTGTCTTTGGGATTTTGGGATCCCTTGGCCCCTTCAATCTCAATCCCTCGGTTTTGGGATTCCTCAGTCCTTCCTGAGCTCAGTTCCATGGCCCCTCATTGTCTTTGGGATTGTGGGATCCCTTGGCCCCTTCAATCTCAATCCCTTGGTTTTGGGATTCCTCAATCCCTTGACCCCTTTGGGATCAATCCCATGGCCCCTTTTGAGGTCAATTCCTTGTCTTTGGGATTTCTCTATCCCTTGAGTTTTGGGATTTCTTAATTCCAGACCCTTTTTGAGCTCAATCTTTTGGTCCCTTCAATCTCAATCCTTTGGCTTTGGGATTGTTCAATCCCTTATCCCATTCTGGATCAGTTCCTTTGCTCCCTCAGTCTCAGTGCCTTGTCTTTGGGATTTTGGGATCCCTTGGCCCCTTCAATCTCAATCCCTCAGTTTTGGGATTCCTCAATCCTTTCTGAGCTCAATTCCATGGCCCCTCATTGTCTTTGGGATTTTGGGATCCCTTGACCCCTTCAATCTCAATCCCTCAGTTTTGGGATTCCTCAATCCCTTGACCCCTTTGGGATTAATCCCATGGCCCCTTTTGAGGTCAATTCCTTGGTTTTGGAATTTCTCTATCCCTTGACTCCTTTACAATCAATCCCATAGTTTGGGGATTCCTCAATTCCAGACCCTTTTTGAGCTCAATCTTTTGGTCCCTTCAATCTCAATCCTTTGGCTTTGGGATTGCTCAATCCCTTATCCCATTCCGGATCAGTTCCTTTGCTCCCTCAGTCTCAGTGCCTTGTCTTTGGGATTTTGGGATCCCTTGGCCTCTTCAATCTCAATCCCTCAGTTTTGGGATTCCTCAATCCTTTCTGAGCTCAATTCCATGGCCCATCATTGTCTTTGGGATTTTGGGATCCCTTGGCCCCTTCAATCTCAATCCCTTAGTTTTGGGATTCCTCAATCCCTTGACCCCTTTGGGATCAATCCCATGGCCCCTTTTGAGGTCAATTCCTTGTCTTTGGGATTTCTCTATCCCTTGAGTTTTGGGATTTCTTAATTTCAGATCCTTTTTGAGTTCAATCTTTTGGTCCCTTCAATCTCAATCCTTTGGTTTTGGGATTGTTCAATCCCTTATCCCAATCTGGATCAGTTCCTTTGCTCCCTCAGTCTCAGTGCCTTGTCTTTGGGATTTTTGGGATCCCTTGACCCCTTCAATCTCAATCCCTTGGTTTTGGGATTGGCTCAACCCCTTGACCCCTTTACAGTCAATCCCACAGTTTTAGGATTGGTCAATCCCTTACCCCTTTTGATCTCAGTTCCCTGCTCCCTCAGTCTCCGTGCCTTGTCTTTGGGATTTTGGGATCCCTTGGCCCCTTCAATCTCAATCCCTTGGTTTTGGGATTGCTCAATCCCTTGGTTTTGGGATTGCTCAATCCCTTGACCTTTCCACACTCAATCCCATGGTTTTGGGATTGCTCTTCCTTATCCCTCTGGATCTCAACCCTTTGGCCCCCTCCAATCAATCCCTTGGCCTTGGGATTCCTCAATCCCTTCCCTGTTTTGACCCCTGATCCCTCAACTCTGGAATTTCCGGGATCTGATCTTCCTCCATCCAGGCTCCTTCCCATCATCTGCTGACAGAACATCCTGGAGCTCATTAATTGAGGTTTCCTCATTAATAAAACCCCAGAACATTCCTGGGACACTGTGAGTGAGGCAGGAAAACAGGAAAACAGGGAAAAAAAATCCAGCGGGCAGCTCATCCCTCTTTTCTGGAGCCGGGGCTTGTTTGTCTCCGGTGAGGGAAATAAATCACCCCCGGCAGCTCCGAGTGCTGATCCTCGGAATCCGCGGCACCCTCTTGAAATGAATAATAATTAAGGAAATAAATTTCCCCGGGAAACTTTGGCTTCAGCAAGAAAAGCCGAGGAGGGGCCGCTGGGGGAGATGGAGCGCTCGGCTCTTCCCGACAGGAGCGGGATCGTGGGAGCTGCTGGAGGGGCTGGAAGTGGCTCAGGGAAGCCTTTTTTTTTCCAGAGGGCAGAGGGGTTTTTTTTTTTGGGAAGAGGAGGAGCGGGAGGGAATGTGGTGGATGGAGAAACTCTCCCGAGGGGGAGGGTTGGGAAGGGGAGCTGAGCACCTGCCTGGCATTGCTGGGGTCAAACGCTGCTTGATTCCAGGGATTGCCGTGAATGATCCCTGCCTTGGGATAAAAAAAAACAAACTGGATGCAGGAGATGGGTTTGGACCCCCCTGAGGTGTATTTTGGGTTATGGGAAAAAAAAACGGGATGCAGGAGATGCATCTGGACCTGGATCCCCCTGAGCTGTGTTTTGGGATTATGGAAAAGAAACCAGGATGCAGGAGATGGATCTGGACCCCCCTGAGCTGTGTTTTGGGATTATGGAATAGAAACCAGGATGCAGGAGATGGATCTGGACCTGGATCCCATCTAACCCTGGGAAGCCATTCCCTGTGTGCTGTCCCTCCATCCCTCATCCCAAATCCCTCTCCAGCTCTCCTGGAGCCCCTTCAGGCCCTGGAAGTGGCTCCAAAGTCTCCCTGGATCCTTCCCTTCTCCAGGTTGAACATTCCCAGCTCTCCAAGCCTGGCTCACAGCAGAACCATCCCATCCCATCCCATCCCACCCCCTCCCTCCGATCATTTCTGTGGATCCAAGATCCCGAGGTCCACGCCAATTCCCGCCAAGCGCCTGGATTCCCGGGATTGATCCGTGTTTTTCTCTGCTTCCAGCTCTGAGGTTGCACTCCACGCCCAGTCCCGGAATCTCTCCCTCCGGCCTCAGCAGATCCTCCTCGTGCCGATACATCGCCAGGTCCGTATTCCCGGGAAATCCCCCTCTGGATTCGGGCTCAGAGGGGGGATTGTTTGGGAGCTCCAGGAGTCTGGAGGATTTTCCTCGGCTTCTGCTTCCAGGTGGTTGTAACTGGGCGGAAAGCCACGGGAAAGCTGGGATTCCAAGGGGTGGATTCCGCTTGGGAAAGGTTGGGAAGGTTGTCAGTGGAAAGCTGCACCTCTCTGGGAGCAAATCCCACTTGGGAAAGGTTGGGAAGGTTGTCAGTGGAAAGCTGCACCTCTCTGGGAGCAAATCCCGCTTGGGAAAGGTTGGGAAGGTTGTCAATGGAAAGGTGCACCTCTCTGGGAGCAAATCCCGCTTGGGAAAGGTTGGGAAGGTTGTCAATGGAAAGCTGCACCTCTCTGGGAGCAAATCCCGCTTGGGAAAGGTTGGGAGGGTTGTCAATGAAAGCTGCACCTCTCTGGGAGCAAATCCCGCTTGGGAAAGGCTGGGAAGGTTGTCAATGGAAAGGTGCACCTCTCTGGGAGCAAATCCCGCTTGGAAAATCCCTTTTTAAGGTTGACCATGTCGTCCTCAAGAAAACCTGCAGGTTTGAAGGGATAAAATGGGATGAGGGAGAAACCTCATCCCACTTCATCCCTTCAAACCTGTGGGTTTTCCTTCCCTCCGTCCCACCAAATTCCCAGCTGGGAGTTTTGCCACCTGGCACCTGGAAAGCACATCCCTGACTCAAAATTAATTAGTACCAAAATCCAGCTTGGAAATGTTCCCTGTGCAGGTCAAAAAAGTCCTGGGGAGCCGCTCAGGGATCCCAAAAAAGGCGTCAGCAGAGGGGAAATTGTAATTCCAGCAAAGAAATATTCCCTGTCATCAATCCACGTCCTTGCCTTAGCCTTGGGAGCACCCCAAGCACCAGCCAGGAGGTTTTTGGTGGCCCTTGGAGGCCCCTGAAGGTGCCTGTGAGGAAGGGGGTGGTGCCGTTTCCGAGGCCGAAACGGGGCTTTGGCGCTTGGAATTCCGGCTGCAGGAATTGTCTCTTTGTCACGGGGTTTTGGAATCCTGGAAGGATCATCCACTTCCAACCCGCCCTGGCATGGGCAGGGACATTTCCCACTATCCCAGGATGTTCCCACCTGGCCTGGAACTCTTCCAGGGATGGGGCAGCCACAGACTTCTCTGGGAATTGCATCCCAGCCCCTCCCCACCCTCCCAGCCAAGAATTCCTTCCCAGTATCCCATCTAACCCTAGGAAGCCATTCCCTGTGTCCTGTCCCTCCATCCCTCATCCCAAATCCCTCTCCAGCTCTCCTGGAGCCCCTTCAGGCCCTGGAAGGGGCTCCAAGGTCTCCCTGGATCCTTCCCTTCTCCAGGTTGACCATTCCCAGCTCTCCCAGCCTGGTTCCTGAGCAGATTTTTCCTGGATAAATGTTTTACCACTGGATTATCCCCTTGGAGAGACCAAACGTGCTCTTTGTGCTGTTGCATCCCCTCGGATCCCGACACTTCCACTCTTCCTCCTGCTCCCACACATCTCCACAGCTGCTGGAAAAGGACCCTTCCAGCTGGAATGTCGTGGAGATTTTTAACGATCAGGGGTAAAATTGGCCAAAAATCAAAAATCCTTAAGAGTTCATGAACCTGAACTTCCCAATGTCTCAGTCTCCAGAGGGAATTTCGGGGCCCTCAGGGGTGTTGAGGTGTCTTCTCCACGTCAGGAAGAGCATCAGAGCAGCTGGTGGGGCACGTCCTGAAGTGCCCTCCCAGTTGTTCAACGTGGAAAAGGACGTTCCTGATGTTTCTTCCTCCTCCTATTCCCCAAAAAAATATCGGGAACTCATAAAATCAGAGGATGTGGAGGTGGGGAGGGATTTCACCGGAGTCACCTTGGGAGATTTTTAGTGATTTGGGGGGTAAATTTGGCCGAGAATCAAAGATACCTGAGAGCTCCTGAGCCTGAACTTCCCACTGTCTCACTCTCCAGAGGGAATTTCGGGGCCCTCAGGGGTGTTGAGGTGTCTTCTCCACGTCAGGAACAGCATCAGAGCAGCTGGTGGGGCACGTCCTGAAGTGCCCTCCCAGTTGTTCAGCGTGGATAAGGACGTTCCTGATGTTTCTTCCTCCTCCTATTCCCCCAAAAAATGTCGGGAACTCATAAAATCAGAGGATGTGGAGGTGGGGAGGCATTTCACCGGAGTCACCTTGGGAGATTTTCAGTGATTTTTTGGGGGTAAAATTGACCAAAAACCTGAGAGCTCCTGAGCCTGAACTTCCCCAAACATCTCCCATTCCGAGGTGAATTTGGGGCTGGGGTTGGAGGTGCCCCCTGACCCTGCTGTGTCTGTCCCCCCCTCACAGCCGTGCCGTGCAGAGGAGCTTGGCCATCATCCGCCAGGCCAGGCAGAGGAAGAAGAAGAAGGAATATTGCATGTACTACAACCGCTTCGGGAGGTGCAACCGCGGCCAGAGCTGCCCCTACATCCACGATCCCGACAAGGTCGCCGTCTGCACCAGGTGAGGGGTGGGTGTGGAAGTTGCTGGGGTGTCCTTTGGGTTTGGAGCTTGCTGGTGGGATGTTCCAAAGGGAATGGGGGGTGACAGCAGGGACCGCAGGGATGGGCGTTGTTGGGATGGATGAGGGTTGGGAGGGAGCTGCAGGAAGAGGATCGTGGAATGGTTGGGGTCGGAAAGGGTTTTGGGAGGTCATCCCATCATCCCAGGGACACCTCCCACTGTCCCAGGTTGCTCCAGCCTGGTTTTGGACACTGCCAGGGATGAGGCAGCCACAGATTCTCTGGGAATTCCAGCCCAGCACCTGGGAACAAAATATCCTGGAAATAACTGTCCTGCTTTAGTAGTTTTATTTCCAAGTGTAGATTTATTTCCAATTTAGTAGATTTATTTCCAAGTGTTGGCAAACCAGGGAAAAGAAAGTCCTTGTTCATCCACGGCTTGGGTTGGAAGGGAATTTTGAGGGTCATGGAATTCCAACACCCTGCCGTGGGCAGGGACATCTCCCACTATCCCAGGTGGTTCCAACCTGGCCTTGGACACTGCCAGGGATCCAGGGGCAGCCACAGCTTCTCTGGGAATTCCATCCCAGCTCCTACCCACCCTCCCAGGGAAAAATTCCTTCCCAATATCCCATCTAACCCTCTGGCAGTTTGAAACCATTCCCTGTGTCCTGTCCCTCCATCCCTTGTCCCAAGCCCCTCTCCAGCTCTCCTGGAGCCCCTTTAAGGCCCTGGAAGGGGCTCCAGGTTCTCCCTGGATCCTTCTCCTCTGAGCTGAGGGACTTGAGACCCTTCCCTGAGCACACAGGGGGTGATTCCCAGGGCAGCACTTCCCAGATCCGCTCGGATCCACACAACAGGCTCGATTCCCTCGTCCGGTGACGTCGTGCGGCTCCGAGAGCGGATGATTAATTCCAGGAGAACGGGACTCCCGTTGCCAGCTCGTTAGACCTGCCCAGGAGTTGATTAAACTCCATTATTAGTCGTTTAAAAAGCGCAGAAAAGCCAAATCCGCTGATGAACTCCCGGAGTAATTTCTCCATAAAAAATTGCTGCCGTGCCGGGATCGCTTGGAAGCCGCGCCGGGCTCGGTGGGAGATCACGGAGCAGGGAAAGGTGATTTATGGAGCGGGGGTTAACAGATTTCACTCCTTCTCACTCACTCTCCCACAACACATCCCCCACAGCTCCTCGCCTGCTTTAGGAATTGCTGCTCCTTGAGGGTTTTTGGGATCTCCATCCCGCCCCTTTTCCGTGGATCGCTGGAGGACAACACCGGTTGTGTCTCCTCCTCCCGGTGCCTTCAGCCCCAATCCCAATATTTACCTTTCCATTATCATCCCCTTAGCTTTGTGAATCTCCTGCCACAGTGGCAGCTCCTGGGAAAACTTCTGGCTCCAGGAATCCTCCCATGCTTTGGGATCTTGGGTTCTGTCCCGTGCCTGCCTCTGCTCCTCCAGGGTTTTGGCCGTTCCCACCCGGAGCTCCTCCCGTGGAGTCATGGAAAGGGTTGGGTTGGAAGGGGCCTTCAAGATCATGGAATTCCAACCCCCCTGCCACGGGCAGGGACACTTTCCGCTCTCCCAGGTTGCTCCAAGCTGGATCCAAACTCTCCTTGAACGCTCCAGGGACGGTGATTCCATCCTGGAGCAATCAGGGCTCTCGGAAGGACCTTTCCTCCTTCGGGGAGCGTCACCCCTGAATTTTGGGGTGCAGGCCTTGCCCTGCCAACTGCTCTGAGCAGCCAGATAGGATGAAAGAACCAAATCCATCAGGAATCAGCAGCTGCTCTTCTAACAGGAGGAACCTTCCCCAATTTGGGGCGTGGAATGGCTCTCGACGAGTGTTTGGTGCGTTCAAAACCTCGTGGTTTGGGACCCACCTCGTGCCCAACCCTCTCCATCTGGTGTCATTCCAGGTTTCTCCGTGGCACGTGCAAGAAGACAGATGGGACCTGCCCCTTTTCCCACAAGGTGTCCAAGGACAAGGTCTGGATGACATTCCAAGGGATGTGGGGGGGGTTGTTGGGAAGGTTCTCCCTGAAGGAGGAGGGAGGGTTTGTGTTTGCTGCCCAAGATGTTCAGGATCCTGGATCGGGACAGAGCCATGGAGTGGTTTGGGGTGGAAGGGACCGTAAAAATCATGGAATTCCAACCCCCTGCCATGGGCAGGGACACCTCCCACTGTCCCAGGTTGTTCCAACCTGGCCTGGGACACTTCCAGGGATGGGGCAGTCACGGCTTCTCTGGGAATTCCATCCCTGCCCCTCCCCACCTTATGGTTAGAAAAGAGGTCTGGAAAAGGGAAAAGAACCTGGAGGAGAGGGAAAGGACCCTGGAGAAGAAGGAAAGGAACCTGGATGGAAGGGAAAGCTGGAGAAGAGGGAAAAGAACCTGGAGGAGAGGGAAAAGGAGCCTGGAGGAGAGGGAAGAGAGCCTGGAAGGAGGGGAAAACTGGAGAAGAGGGAAAAGAATCTGGAGGAAAAGGACTCTGGTGGAGAGGGAAAGGAGCCTGGAGAGGCAAAAGAGAGTGGAGGAGAAAGAAAAACTGGCAGTTAGGGAATTTTGCTCCATAAAGGATTGCAGGGCAGAGCAGGGAATTCTCCAGCTGGGATCGGAGCCCAGGATTGCTCCAGCAGCAATGGACAGAGCCCAGGAACCACGAGCAGTCTGGTTTTGGGAGCGCAGGGAGCTGCTCCCACAGCTCTTCCCTTGCCAGGAGGTGAAGGATCAACAGCTCTTGGGTTCAGGATGAAACCCAGGTGCACTCCCGTGCCTCAGTTTCCCCGCTGAAAAATGGGGATAATCCCGGTTTTCTGTGGGAAAGCCGCGTGGGTTCAGCTGCCCCAGAGCTTTCCCTGGAGAGGAAAAGGAAGGTGGAGGAGAGGGAAAGGAACCTGGAGGAGAAAGAAAGGATCGTGGAGGAGAGGGAAAGGAGCTTGGGGAAGTGGGAAGCTGGGGAAGAGGGAAAGGAACCTGGAGGAGAGGGAAAAGAGACTGGAGGAGAGGGAAGGGAGCCTGGAAGGAAGGGAAAGCTGGAGAAGAGGGAAAAGAACCTGGAGGAGAGGGAGGGAGCCTGGAGGAGAGGGAAAAACTGGCAGTTAAGGGATTTTGCTCCATAAAGGATGGAGGATTGCAGGGCAGAGCAGGGAATTCTCCAGCTGGGATCAGAGCCCTGGATTCCTCCAGCAGTGTCTGAGAGATCCCAGGAACCACGAGCGAGCCGGTTTTGGGAGCTCAGGGCAGCTGCTCCCACAGCTCTTCCCCTTGAGGGAGCTCGGCGAGGAATCAGCGATTTTTCCTCCCCGATGGAGCTCCCGAAGTGCCCCCCGTGAGCCACGCGTGGAGTTTGGGATGGTGGAAAGCTCCTCTCCCGCAGCCGGAGCGGCCGCGAAGGGACTCAGGGAGAGGGGGGGGTTGTTTGTGCGGCCGGGCCGGGGCGAGAAGAAGGTTAATTGAAATCAGGAGAAGCTGCTGCCCCTCGATAATGGCCCGGCCTCGGCAGCCGGGAGGGGCTGCGCTTCGGAGGGGGAAGAGCCGCCTTTATTATCCCTTTTTATTGGAGCTAATTCGGGCTCTCCATCAAAAGGCGCATTAAGGGAGTCGTTGGCGCCCTGTCCTTTCGGGAATGTCGGAGCTTAAGAGGCGATTAAGGATAAACTCTTCTCTGGTTGTTGGTTTTGTTTTGTTTTTTTTTTTAATGAGCGTCCCTTTTGTTTTCTTACCTCTCTGGTGGCTCGGGATAAACCCTCCCCGTGCCCTTCAGGGATAATAAGGGGGGTTTTTTTGTGTTGTTTTTTATTTTCCCTGGATAGTCCCTGCCCGGGGTTGTTGTAGGGTTGGTAAATGTCGAGGTGCTGGAGGAGAGGGAAAGGAGCCTGGTGGAGAAGGGAGGGAGCCTGGAGAAGAGTGAGAAAGGAGCCTGGAGGAAAGGAAAAGGAGCCTGGAGGAGAGGAAAAGGAACCTGGAGGAGAAAGGGAAAAGGAGCCTGGAGGAGAGGAAAAGGAACCTGGAGAGGGAAAGGAGTCTGGAGGGAAAGGAGTCTGGAGGAGAGGAAAAGGAACCTTGAGAGGGAAAGGACCATAGAGGAGGGGGAAAGGAACCTGGAGAGGGAAAGGAGCCTGGAGGAGAGGGAATGGAGCCTGGAGGAGAGGGAAATAACTGGGAGGAGAGGAAAAGGAACCTGGAGGAAAGGGAAAAGAGCCTGGAGGAGAGGAAGAGGAGCCTGGAGAGGGAAAGAACAGTGGAGGAGTGGGAATGGAGCCTGGAGAAGGGGGAAAGGAGCCTGGAGGAGAGGAAAAGGAGCCTGGAGGAGAGGAAAAGGAGCCTGAAGAAAAGGAAAAGAGCCTGGAGGAGGGAAAGGAGCCTGGAGGAGAGGGAAGCTGGAGAAAAGGGAAAGGAGCCTGGAGGAGAGGAAAAGGAATCTGGAGGAGTGAGGAAGGAGCCTGGAGGAGAGGAAAAGGAGCCTGGAGAAGTGGGAAAGGAACCTGGAGAGGGAAAGGAGCCTGGAGGAGAAGGAAAAGGAACCTGGAGAAAAGGGAAAGGAGTCTGGAGGAAAGGAAAAGGAGCCTGGAGAGGGAAAGAACAGTGGAGGAGTGGGAATGGAGCCTGGAGAAGGGGGAAAGGAGCCTGGAGGAGGAAAGGAAAAGGAGACTAGAGGAGAAGGGAAGGAGCCTGGAGAAGGGGGAAAGGAGCCTGGAGAGGGAAAGGACCTAGAGGAGGGGGAATGGAACCTGGAGGAGAGGGAAATAACTGGGAGGAGAGGAAAAGGAACCTGGAGGAAAGTGAAAGGAACCTGGAGGAGAGGGAAGCTGGAGAAGGGGGAAAGGAGCCTGGAGGAGAGGAAAAGGAGCCTGGAGGAGAGGAAAAGGAGCCTGGAGGAGAGGGAAGCTGGAGAAGGGGGAAAGGAGCCTGGAGGAGAGGAAAAGGAGCCTGGAGGAAAGGAAAAGGAGCCTGGAGGAGAGGAAAAGGAGCCTGGAGGAGAGGGCAAGGAACTGGCAGGACTGGGATGCTGCCAGTGAGTGGAGGGATTGCTCCCATGCTGAGCAGGGAGGAAATTGGGGATGTGGGCGGATCAGGAGGAGCTGGACCACCTCAGCACATCCTGCCTGTGGCAGGGGGTGAGTTAAGGATGCTGGAATGTCACAGCAGGCTGGGAATTTGGGGTTAGTTCCAGCAGCTGGCACCAGGTGAAGTTTGGATCCTGCTCCGTCCGTTTTCCCTGTGGTGCCTCAGGAATGGGGGGTGTGGGAATGGGGCTGTGCTCCTGGATCCAGTGCTCCTCTTTTCAAACCTCTGGATTTGAAAGGAGCCTGGGCTCTCCTTGTCTTTTCCCTCCTCCCTGGGACATCCCTCCTGGAACATCCCACAGGGATATCCCATTGCTCGTGGTGGGCATTCCTTGGATCGGTGCAGCCTCCCCAAAATCCTTGTGGGAGTTCCAGGACCCACCTTTTGGAGCCTTTATCCATGGGAAAGCCAAATAGGGGAGCAGCCCCAGGATGAGGTTTCAGCCTCTGTGGTGGCTGGAACTTCCCATGGGATGTTGATCCCTGTCGCTGCCGTTCCCACCTCCGTGGCTGCATCATCCCTTGGGAACGATGTTCTCCAGGTCTTTTGGGATTGCTCCAGCCCTTCCCTGGGCCCTACAGACACAGCTCTCCCCTCCTGGTGGCTGCTCCCTGCTTTTCCCCCCCTTCCCAGCATCCCGAGGGAAACATTCCTTGCCAGGGCTCCGAAGGAAGAGCTAAAAATCCCTCTGGGATCAGGGGCTGACAAGAAGTTTCTATTTATTTCCATTCTCTGGGAGAGGGTTGGAATGGTTCTGGATCCGGAGCTGAGGGGAGGTTGGAATGGTTCTGGATCCAGAGCTGAGGGGAGGTTGGAATGGTTCTGGAGCTGAGGGGGGGTTGGAATGGTTCTGGAGCTGAGGGGGGGTTGGAATCGTTCTGGATCTGGAGCTGAGGGGAAATTGGAATGGTTCTGGAGCTGAGGGGGGGTTGGAATGGTTCCAGCTCTGGAGCTGAGGGGAGGTTGGAATGGTTCTGGAGCTGAGGGGAGGTTGGAATGGTTCTGGAGCTGAGGGGAGGTTGGAATGGTTCTGGAGCTGAGGGGAGGTTGGAATGGTTCTGGATCCAGAGCTGAGGGGAGGTTGGAATGGTTCTGGATCCAGAGCTGAGGGGAGGTTGGAATGGTTCTGGATCCAGAGCTGAGGGGAGGTTGGAATGGTTCTGGCTCTGGAGCTGAGGGGAGGTTGGAATGGTTCTGGATCTGGAGCTGAGGGGAGGTTGGAATGGTTCTGGATCCGGAGCTGAGGGGGGGTTGGAATGGTTCTGGATCCAGAGCTGAGGGGAGGTTGGAATGGTTCTGGCTCCGGAGCTGAGGGGAGGTTGGAATGGTTCTGGAGCAGAGGGGAGGTTGGAATGGTTCTGGAGCTGAGTGGGGGTTGGAATGGTTCCAGCTCCAGAGCTGAGGGAACGCTGCCGGGTTTTCTCTTGCAGATGCCGGTGTGTTCCTACTACCTGAAAGGGATCTGCAGCAACAGCAACTGCCCCTACAGCCACGTCTACGTGTCCAGGAAGGCAGAGGTGTGCCAGGATTTCCTCAAGGGATATTGTCCCATGGGAGAGAAGGTAAGGAAAGAGTTTATCCTGGTTTATCCCGGTTTATCCCGGGGTCCGAAGGCGACATTCCGACAGCACCACGGGGCTGGAAAACACCCCTGGAAGGGGATGAACAGCAGTCCTGTGCTTTTCCCAAGGAATTGTGGAAAAGGGGTTTACAGGCAGGGAAAAAAAAAAAAGAAAAAAAGGATTGAAATCCAAGGTTTCAGCTCGGGTAAATGTTGTGCTGGTGTTTCCCGGGAAGAACCTTCCATGTTTCCCATGTCCGGTTGTGCCTGCCTGGAAAACCCCTCCCCTAAAGAGAGGGAAAGGAGAAGGCTTGTGATTCCCTGTTTTCCATAGAAAATCTATGGATGTTAAGGTTTGTTTTCCATGCTGGCTTCGGGATGGGTTTAAAAGTTAAAGTTAAAATTCCCTGGAATTTTAGGGCTCCTGCGTGCAAAAAAAACCCCATGGAATGTCGGGGTTTGTCCAGCATCTTGTGGCTCCCCCATTCTTTGCCAGGGATGGGGGAAGGGGGTGGCAGCGAGTTCAGGTCCTCACTGGGGTCCTCAGAAGGGTGTGGAGCTGCTGGATGAGTCCAGAGGAGCCCATGGAGATGCTCCAAGGGCTGGAGCCCCTCAGCTCTGGAGCCAGGCTGGGAGAGCTGGGAATGTTCACCCGGAGAAGGGAAGGATCCAGGGAGACCTCAGAGCCCCTTCCAGAGCCTAAAGGGGCTCCAGGAGAGCTGGAGAGGGACTGGGGACAAGGGATGGAGGGACAGGACACAGGGAATGGCTTCCCAGGGTTAGATGGAATACTGGGAAGGAATTCTTCCCTGTGAGAGTGGTGAGAGGTTGGGATGGAATTCCCAGAGAAGCTGTGGCTGCCCCATCCCTGGAAGTGTTCCAGGCCAGGTTGGAGCAACCTGGGATAGTGGGAGGTTGGGAGGGGATGGGAATGGATGACCATTAAAGGTCCCTTCCCATCCCAACCATTCCATGATTCCAAGATTTGCTGAGCAGTGCTGTCCCATCTCTGAGCCCAGGGGGAGGTTGGCAGCCACCTCTTCCTCAGTCTGCTTCCCTCCGAGGAAAACAGAATTCTGGGATGCTTTTCCCATGGAAAAACCTGGATCTGTGACTTAAAACTTGCTGCTCCTGGAGATCCTTCCTGCCTTCCACTGGGGAAGATGCTGGGATGAGCAGTTGGATTCTTGGACCCACGAGCTGGAGCTCCAAAGGGCTTTTCTCCCTCTTTCCTCCATCCCTGTGGATGGAGGAGCTGAAGGTGCCCAGTTCCCATCCCCGTGGTGTCATCCCCTGTGCCAGAATCCAGACACGACCTTGGGTGGAATAATTGGATGATTTAGATCCAGGAAAAGACCTCAAAGCCCATCGAGCTCAACCCTTCACCCGGCGCTGCCAAAATTCCCACCTTTTCCCGAAAGGAAAAAGCGCCGCGGAGCAAAAACCGGGCGAAAAAGAAAGGATGGGGGAAAAAAAAACTCCAAAAGGGAGAGTTTTAGGGCAAGCAGCAGATCAGCAGCAGTGAAAGGAGGCTCTAATAAATTAGTCTGGGCTTAATTCCTTCTCGTGGAAGGAAGGGGACGGAGCGTGGGATAAACGATTCCCCGGGATCCGGAAAATGCGGGAATCCCGCCCTCCTCAGTCTGCTTCCCTCCGAGGAAAACAGAATTCTGGGATGCTTTTCCTATGGAAAAACCTGGATCTGTGACTTAAGACTTGCTGCTCCTGGAGATCCCTTCCTGCCTTCCACTGGGGAAGATGCTGGGATGAGCAACTGGATTCTTGGATCCACGTCCTGGAGCTCCAAAGGGCTTTTCTCCCTCTTTCCTCCATCCCTGGGCGGGGGCAAAGAGGGAGGAAAGGCCTGCCAATTATTTCTAAAACTATTGCAATTTAAATGAAAACATCAAGGAGATAGTTGGAATATTTCTCCTATTAGGAAAAGTGCTTACGGCGTCACTTGGGGAGCCGCTCTCCCCGGGATGATGGATAGCAGCCCGGAATTACAGACGGGGCAGAAACTGCTGAGAGGGCCAGATTTCCACTGGGGAGGAGTTAAAACCACCAGCCTGGGCTGCCAAGGGTTAATTTTGTTCTCTAAATAATAATGAGGGGTGGGGGCGGGGAAGTGCTGAGTCGGCGGCTTTTCGCTGCGAGCGGAAAAGTCCTCAAATGGACCCCGGAGAGTTGATGATATTCCCGGGAATAGAGGGGGGGAAAACGTTAACCTCGCTCGTTAAAGACACACACTCCCCTTTTGCTGGTGAATAATTGAGGCTGGGAGTAAATCTCCACCTCGTTCTGCCCTGGGAAACGGGGAGAAGCTCCTGGGTGGGAGTCCTGGGTGGGGCAGCTCCCAGGAAGGAAAGGGATAATTCGGGATTTGGGTGGTTTTGGGGCTGATATTGGGGACTCTTCTCCCGCTGGTGTTTTCCTCCCAGCGTGCTCCCCTCCCCCCAAAGATAAGTTCCGTATTTTTATCAGGCTTCCATCAAAAATGCCCGTTGTGATCCGTAATTTACGACGTGAAGTTACTTCCTTGGGTGTCTCGTGGGATTCCAGGACAAGTGAGTGGATCAAGGCCTTGGACCCACCCCGTGGGCTGGGAGTCCAACTGCAGGCACCAACCTGCTCTGGCTTCGTCGGGAATTACGGAGGATTAAGGGAGAAAGCTTCGACTTGGCATTCCCAAATCCCTTTTTCAGGAATGTGGGCCCCTTTGGGAAAGGGGGCAATTCCTGTAGGGAAGCAGGTCCTTCGTTAAGGGAATGTCATCCCCAGTGTTAATTGGGTTGGACTGGATGACCTTGGGGGGTCTTTTCCCACCTAAAGGGGGGGAAGAGATATTAGGAATAAATTACTGTGAGGATATTGGGAATATCCTCATTACATCCAAATTACTGTGAGGATATTAGGAAGAGATATCAGGAATAAATTCCTTACTGTGAGGATGGTGAGACCCTGGCACAGGTTACCCAGAGAATCTGTGGCTGCCCCATCCCTGGAAGTGTCCAAGACCAGGTTGGAGCAACCTGGGATAGTGGGGAGTGTCCCTGCCCACAGCAGGGGGTTGGAATTCCAGGATCTTTTAGATCCCTTCCAACCCAAACCATATTTGATGGGCTGAGATCTCTGCATGGCCAAGAGCTTGGATCTGGGAATCACCACAAGCACTTGGATCACATCCATGGGTGATCCCAAGGAGCAGCTGCCTTGGGATTTGCCTTCCAGGCACAAAACGTGGAGGGGAGATTTCCTTGGGATATTGGGAAGAAATTCTTCCCTGTGAGGATGGTGAGGGGCTGGAATGGAATTCCCAGAGAAGCTGTGGCTGCCCCATCCCTGGAAGTGTCCAAGGCCAGGTTGGAGCAACCTGGGACAGCGGGAGATGTCCCAGCCCACGGCAGGGCACTGGAATTCCGTGATCTTTCCACTCCCTTCCCACCCAAACCATTCCATATGAGAACCAGAACTTGGGAAGCTCTTGGTGCTGGATCTCTCCAGCATTCCCAGTGTGGCAGGGCAAGGACAAGCAAGCCAGGCCATTCCCCTCCAACTGCTGCATCCGGAAAATTGTTTGGAATTGAATAACCCCCTCTCTGTGTCCCTTAAACCACGGAAAATCCCTCTCTCCGAGTTTCCTCGGAGCCTGTGGGGAAGTTGTTCCCCCTAGGGTGAGATGAAACAGCGAGGCTTCCGTGGAAAAGAATGGAATAAACCTGGAATAAATCATGGATAAGAGGGGGGATCTTGTGTGGAGCATTTCCCAGGCTGGGAAAACCCCCAAATCCCTCTTTTTGTGGGACTTTTTCCCGGAGATTTTGCTCCTTATCCGTGTAAAGCGGGAGGCGAGGGCAGTTCTGAGCAACCTGTGCTTCCCAAGGAATCTTCACTTCCTTGGGAAGCGCCATTTCCCATCCCCAGGTGGATTGTGGTGCTTCTTCCTGACAGCAGCTGCTCGATTTTTCTGCAGAAAATGCAAATATGGGGATTTTTTTATTTATTTTTTTCCCCTCAGCCTCCTTCTCCTCTGGAGGTTTTTTTTTGGTGCCTTCAGTTGGTTCTTTTCTCCTTTGCTGGTGGAAGTTGAAGAGTTTCCCCACCCTAAACTTATTTTTTACGTGCCTGGCACGTGGAATTTAACCCCTTTTTTGTAGGAAAAGGGCCACCAGAGCTGATATTAAATTGGTTTTTTTGGGGGGTTTTTCTCTCCGTTATCCACGGATTCGTGATGGAAAACGGCAGCTCGGGCTCCTTTTCCCTGTTCATCTTTTATCCCGGGAATGTGAAGCTCAGCTCCATTCCTGTTGTGTTTTTTGGTGCTTTCTGGTTAAAATGAGGGGTTTTTTTTTTCTCTCTCACCCCCTCAGATCTTGGTGTTTTTCCAGGGTCTTTTTTCCCCTCCTGTTTTTGCTCCCAGGTTGAATCCCAGCTTGGCTTTTTGAGGAGATTGGGAGAGGTGGGATCCCCATCCCTGGAGGGATTTAACAACCACCTGGAAGCGGCACTTGGGGACATCCCAAGAGGGCTTTTCCAACCTAAACAACTCCCAAAATTCCACCATCTCTTCCCAAATAGCTCTGCCTTGGAGAGGGCTCTTTTATAACAAGTCAGCCCCGTGAAAATCAGCCACAAAAGCAACTTTGGTTTCGTTTCTCCTCCGTTTTGGCTCGGCTTGACAGATGTTTTTTGGCAGCTTTATTGGGGCTTGTGGTGTTTTTGTGTTTTTTTTAACTCCCCCCATAAAATGCAGCAGAAATTCTCAGCCACCAAAACTGATTAGTAAGGGGAAAAAAAATCTTTATTTAAAATAAAATAACATAAAATAAAATAAAATAAAATAAAATAATAAAATAAAATTAAAAATAAAATAAAAATGGGTAGGAATGCCAATGGGGCTGCTTTTAAGGTGGTGGAGGGGTCTGTCCAGGGGGGATTTGGGAATGCTGAGTCCTTGCCCATCTCCTCTGGGCAACGATGGTGCTGAAAAGAAAGGATAAA